TCTATTTTTCGAGAAGACCTCGCCAAGTGTTATCGTCGGAAAATAGCAGCAGGTGCGACCGCTCAGACGGAGCGTTTATTTTCGTACGCTCTATGGAATTCGTGCCGGGAAGTAATATTTTTTCCCCCGATTCATGCATTTTACTCGCCACACGTTGTACGTACGCGTTTCTCACAAGATTTTTGCGGCACGCGGCGGTTATTGATTGCAATGGCAAGACGCGATAAAAGGTTCGAGTTACGCGGCGAGACGATATCGAATGGCAGGTGCGAACACAAACGGTAATTAGAAAAGTTCTGCAAACCGTGCGATGTACACGGAGAAAACAAGTTTTGCTGGAACAGCAAATTGCTTGTTGATATAGTGAGCAGCAAGAAGATTTGTGACGCGGAAAAAATAATTTTGCTTTTTTCTTCGCAAAACGTCGTTGCGACAGCAATAAAATTTATTTGGCGCATCAAAATTGTTTTGCTGTCCATATGTCCAGCAAATAACAATTACGGTTCTTAACAAATCTTTCTGCTGTTCAAATTTGTTTTGCTATCTATTAACAAACAATTTGCTGTTCTAGCAAAATTTCTTTCTCCGTGTAGATTTACAAGCTTTTATTTCATATTCCATTTTGTTTCTTCGCATTCTCCTTTATAATCAAACAGACGATCCTTCTAAATCGTAAAATTACACAATTCCTAAATGAATTTGTCATTTCGCAAGGAACTAATTTCTTTCTTCAATTATGTTATTAAACTAAAATTAATTTAAATTATAAAAAATAATACAGCACTAATTTAATTTTTAATAATCCCATAGCTAATTATTTTTTGCTTTTTAACGTAAGACTTCGCTGTAGGATTCGCGAGTCGTTTCAATTCGCGACAAATGTTTTTACTTACCTTTACTGACTTTCTGGATAATTCGCCGATTAGCAGATTAGATGCAAACGGCAGGAGGGATCGTTCGTCATCGGTGGCTTCCAGTTATCGCTCGGCGAGTTATCGCTTAAAGTACCTTTAATCAGGCTACCGGCGCGACGCGATCGAATAATCTCATTAATAAGTAAAAAAGTGCCGATGGTGTCGGTGACGCGTTGATTAAAGCTTTCGAGAGCTCTCGGCGCTCTCGCGCGTTTATCATCGGAAGAAAGACGCATTTTTAAACGTGTTAATCCGATTTATCGCACCGCTCTGACATTGATATCGTCGTCTAAGCAGACACCGTCCGTCTAACGAAATTTCCGCGATATTGCCCGTCGATTTCGACCGAAATCTATTCGTGGTCGCTTTCGGCAGACGAAGAGCGATTTATTATACACCGGATTGCACGATCGAGTGATCGAACGTTGTGTGTGAGTGATATAACTAATTTTGCAACAGCAACACGCTATTCCGGAGGCTATTCCAATGTTCGAATGTAAGCTCCGTTTTTCTAAACACCGTTTTTCGTCCAGAAATGTAATTTCGCGAACGCTACGTATAAATTTTTACATTACCGCAAAATAGGACGTGACCGTTTACGTATTCACGCAAGCTCAAACATTAATTTGACTGTTCTACGGACATCATCGTTATTTACGTTTCAAGGAGCATTCATAAGATGCGTTTCGTGCATAAATTATTACGATTCTACATTAGCATCGGTACAAAATTTGGAAGTTGCACAGTTTTGTACTTTCATACGGACGTGTGAACTCAAAGTAAAAACGTCGCCACGTGTCTGAAACGCTGGTAGTACCGGTTGAAATCTTCAACGAGCCATGATCTCCCGCAAATTCGACAGAGGAGACACTCTTAGCAGCTGTCTGAAGTCCCCTGCAAGCTATCTTGTGCAATATTTACGACTTGATTTAACAATTGAGCGAGGCGGATTCGGTCTCCGGCGGACGCAATCCCAGAATTATCCCCGATGTGGAAAGCGCGACGCGGCTGATGAATCTCGTGTAATTCCATCTCTCCTCGAGTTGTCTTTCTTCATCGTGTCGTCGCGACGTTAATTCCGCCGACTTCCGTTAACCGAGACGTTATCGCTTCGCGAGGCAGCTCGCGATTATCATTCAGGAATGTCGAAGCGCATGCAAAGTGCGCGATTCGCGTTCACGCGTCGTCGGCTTTGCGTTATTTTATCGCTGAGTCCCGGCAGCTTACGGCCGATTAAGACCGATGAAGGAAACTCGAGGCACCTAATTATGCAAAGTGCACCTAAGTGCGCGTATACCTCGCGTTCGGCCCGGGGAAGTAAGGATCTGTTTACAGTATATACTTGTAGAGGATCTTAAAGAAAACTCGGATAATATTCATTACCCCCGGCGCAGGTAAATGATAATTACAATTAGAGGGCCGTTCAGCAATTATGTCGGATGGAATTTGAGTAATTTTCATCCTTCCTCCTGCCTTTCCTCACGTTTCGTCACAAAATATTTCGACCAACCCCTCTTCCGATATTATGTGACATGTGGAATTATTCCCCTTCCTTGCCTCCGTATAGAATAATTTTTATCGATATTACTAAAATGAAATGAAAAAACAAGAACGGGTAAAAAAAGGAGTGTCGCTGTCGATACTCAAAAGTTTTCGTCAAATGTAACCGAATGAATCACGAATGCAAGCAAGGTAGACAACCACGCGCATCCGTAGTTACAACATTGCGCAAACCGAAGTGTGTTATTTTCAAGATAAGCATAAGCGTGTAATTTGGCTGAAACCCTTTTCACACGTTTCTTGCCGTATGAATCACAACACGCTTTAAAACGCATTGATTTAATTCTGCCACCTGATGTGACGTTCCACAGCGTTTGCTCCCCCTCTCCATCTGCCATCGCAGATCATCACGCAAGATAATAGACCTACCCCTCCTCTCCTCATGACGTAATTGTTGAACGGCCCTTTGCACGATTAACTCTTTCTGCCCGGCTGATTCCAATAGTAATCACTAACTTTTAAATTTCCTCATTGTAACTCTTGCCGTGCCCGAAGGCAAAGGAAATTGAAAGAAAAATTTCTTTTCACTCGCATAAGTAAATTCAGGTCAGAAAGAGTGAAAGATCACACGTGCGCGATGTTTGCGCGTTTGAAGGAGAGAAGAAGAAGGAAATCTATCGGGAGGCTATCGGGTTTATCGCGAAGTTGTCGCGATTGAAATCGCGTAAAATAGAACCGAATAATGACGACACTCGCCGCGATCTAATCGTCCCGATTAGAATAAAGTCGAAGTCGCGATCGGAGCGATCATGACGGAGATATCTCTGTCGACGAGGATGTCGTCCACCGTAAATAGGACCTTAACTCGTTTCCCTGGGAACCCACGGCGCAAATTCCAACGGATGATGCATGTTTGCGCCACGGTTCGGTTTATAAATCGCCCCTAAATAATTCCGCGCGCTATTCCCAGTCGATAAATTAGAAGCCGCGCGCTTGTAATATCATTTCTAGGAGCGCCGTGTCGTTTAGATTTCAATTTAGATCCGGCGATGTTTAAACGCGTCGACGCGGCCTCGCGCGAGAGTCTCGTCGAGGAGCGCGCGCGGAGTCTCGTCGGCGAGGAGAGCAGCGAGACGCGGCTGTGATAAACCGCGATTCCGCGACAGAAAGGCACGACCGGTGCATCCGGGTGGAGCAGCCGGCCCCGCTCGGCCCGCGATAAATATTTATTGCCTTGTAAGGATTTTCCCCGGACGCGAGAACATTGCGAAGCACGGCCTGAGATACGGTCGATCAACGCGTAATTAAAATCAACCGGTGGAATCCGTCGGTCCCGCGAACTTTTCCTATAAGTTTATGCCAGTTAGCCGCGCGGGGCTATCTTTTCGACGGACACGACGCCAATGACGGTGGCGGCGACAAGTTTTCCGCGATTAATTATGCATTCCCGACGTCGGAGTGCGTCGGGCCGCGCAAGAGAGGCACGACGGAAGTATCCCGCTGGATTACACCGTTCGCGCTTTTCCCTCCCCGCCGCCGCCCCGCTGGTGACCTTTTTTCCCCCTTTTCTTTCTTTTACTCGCCGTTTTACGGGGCAATAAATTGCGGGTAAACGAGCCGGGGCCCGCGTTGACCTACGACGGCGGTTTTCGTTTCGCGGCTCGTTTCTGGGCTTAATGCGATGCGCGCGTCTCGACGGCGCGGACGACGACGAAGACGACGAGGTGAACGTGGACCCCGTGGCTGCGGAAAGTAATTACGGGCCGAGTTGAATACTTTTTAAATCGCGTTAGCCGCTGTCTCCCAGGAGTGGCCCGCGGTGATTCCACTCCTCCACTTCCACGCTCCTCGAGACGCGCGCGCGCCGCTGAATCCTCGCCGGCGAGAACATCAAAGACGTCTTTTAAGCGCGTTTAATTGTCGAATAAGAAAGGACTCGCTTCTCTTGATTCGTTCCGCTTCCTTCTCAAACGAAGAGGCACCGACGATTCTCATTCCGTTTGATTGCGACGTGCGGCGTGCACACGTGACGCCATGGTGGTGTCACGATTTTACCGTTTCTTCGAATGTTCTGCAAATCTCGCGATTAATTCGGAGCATCTCGCAAGCCTTCGCAATCCGAAGTCATTCTATTGATTACTGTTTTAATGAATAGGAAAAAATGCCGCATCTATTATAATCATATCGTTATCATAATCATTAATTTCATTTTCACATCGTTATCATGATTTTTTCTTATTATTTTATTTATTATTTTTTACTTATTATTGTTATACTTACACTTATGTATTATTTATCTTATTATTTTTACTTATTGTTATACTTATTTATTTTTCATTGTTATCTTTACTTATTTTTATTTATTTTTACTTGTTATTATTATATTTACACTTTTATTGTTATCATACTTACACTTTCCTGTTGTTATTATTTTTGTCATTATTACTAAGGGAAATTAAGAAACTTTATTTGAATATTTATATAATTATATAAATAACTCAATATTTCCGGCAGTTTTTTTTGTTATTTTATGAATCGCCATCTTTGTGAGCCAGATTTAATTTGTACGTATCTTCTGTGTTTCAGGCAAGAAAAAATTTCCCTCGGACCCGTCTTGCTGCCCGGTATGCGGCGTGACAGTGAGACCGCAAGAATTGGAGCAGCATTTTGCCCAAGAGCTTGATCGGCTCTATAAGGTCTCGTCCGCGTCTGCGAGGCCTCGACCTTCGAGGTCGACCTTGCCGCCGACGCACGCCCAGGATCATCCCCATGGATCGATGTTACACGCTCCATCGGCGGCAGACGGTACCCCCCAGGGTAGATGGGAAACCTACAAAAGGATCAAGGCCAATAGACAGGTGACGCATTCGTTGGCTCGTATCTTAAATATTTATCATTGACGTGTGAAATCTTTATAAATTTTGCGCTTACTAAAATATTTATAATTTTTCATTTCTTTAATTTGATACACCTGTATGAAGTAAAATTTCAATAATCGTCGCGCGGGAATGGAAAAATTCCAACTTTACTCGTTTAGATTCAAAGATGTGTCGAGAAAATAACTTGAAGTATTCAGAGATTTCGTCTATTCTGAAAATAAAGAAAAAAATCATTTCACCATCGTAGTACGTATGAAATACTAAAGATAGTTTTCTCAAGTTAAGATTGATTGCGACACGATCGTATATATATAGTATGTTTAATTATTACAATATTATTTATATTAATATTATTATATTTTTATATTATAAGATACGCGCGCATATGTTATTTTATAGTACATTATATATCGTAATATGTTAATGCGTTTCTCACGACAACCGGTATTATAATAACGATACGTGCGATGCCGTTTCTTTTGTGCAGGCCAGAATACGCGTTAAGAATCGGAAGAGAAAAGCGGACGAGACGGCCTGTCCGGTTTGCAGCGAGAGGCTGTCGGGTACTCCGGAGGAATTGAATCAGCATGTCGACCGTTGTCTGAACAAGCAGAACAACGGAAACCCGGCCGGGCAGAACGCGAATCTCGACGAAGAGGAGGTCGACGTCGAGGGCGACGCCGAGACCTTCGACGAGTACGAGTGGGCCGGCCAGAGAAGAGTACGTGCCACTTCTATGCTCGTCGGTGGTTTCTCCGGTGAGTAGCGTTACACTCTGCCGGAATAAATTACGCGCGAATTTATTATGATGCGCGCGTAAGCAAATATTTGCGATAAATTTGCGGTTATTGGGCACCGGTTTAATTTTATTTATGTAAAAATGTTAGATCAATACGCATTAAATATATATGTTTGCGCCGCGAAAACATAAAATAAACGCATGCATGCCCGATAATTGCAAATTTTGTGTGATTTAGATCGTAATTATGTGAATTTATTTAGTTTGCCTTTTGCGGAAAGAAAGCACTCTATATCGAGACCAATTGAAAACGCCATTATTAGTTTTCGATAAACATCATTGGGATTCGTTTATCTTAAATATTTCTTCGAAAACTCGAGAAACGTTGTAAATTTTACAAAACAAATCACTTTTAGATACATTTTGTGACACGGAAATCACACAATCACATTCAACTGTAAATCGCGTAACCGCGTCCGAGTCATCCTCTTACGGCAATTAACTCCAGTCTTTCCACACGTATCATACATTAGTTTTAGAAATATCCGTACAAATAACGCAAAGTAAAACGAAAGAGGCAAAACAAGACAAAAGTGACATAATAAGAAATAAAAAGAATAAAAAGACTCTCTCAGTATTCAACCATGTGCAAAAATTAAGCCGATAAAAGACATCGCATGATATTCAGCACGAATTAATTTCTAGGAGAATAACATTTTACGAGGAGGAACAATACGCGTTGACAAGTTTTTCGGTCTTTTATATGCCGTCCAGCCTATCAATCTGGCCCTTTAACGAGCTCCGAAATTTGGATGATTATTAATTAATACCGATAATAATCTCCCACTCACCCATTTATCGACATAAATTAGAGTAAGTCAAAGTAAAAGAAAAAAATACTTTCCTATTTACGGCAAGGAAGAGAGTTCAAATATTTAGTCCGCTATTATCAACCGACACGTGCATGTGGAGCCAACCTTCTTCTGTCTCGTGCGTACAGTCAGCGTTATTTATGCTGTACAATCGGTTACAGGACGGTTGCAACAGTTTTTTCTTGCATATTTTAAAATATACAAAAAATACGCCGGAGCGAATCTATGATTCACGGATATGCGCGATGGATGGACAGACAGCTGTCAAAATTACATATGTATACGTCAAAGTTATATCTGTATGCGTAATTTTGATAGTTATCGGACCCATCCACCATTCGTAAATCGTAAATCGTATTCGCTTCGACGTATTTTTCGTGTGTTCCGAAACGTGTAAAAAACAAACTAGCAACCGTCTTATGACCGACTGTGAACGTACTTTACGTCGTGCTTGCACTAAGAGGCGTCCGCCTTCCCCGCAGCCGCGGGTCTCGCCACCTCCTCGAGCAATCGCTCCGGTGCCGGGGGCGGTCCCGGCAACCAGGAAGACGAAGACGTGGACCTGGTGGTCGACGGCGACGACGCCGCCGAGTTCGGCCCGGCGCAGTATTCCGAGGCGGACGTGGTCGCGCCGCGGATCGACGGTACGCCGCGGGAACAGAAAGAACGGGACGCCCTTCGCGAGGCCGTCATCTCGCCGAACGCGCCGCACACTCCTCAACAGCTGACACCGGACCAGCTGGGGGCGCAGGGCCTGGTCGAAGTGAAGCCGGAGCCGGGCGCCGCGACACCCGTCGGTCAGCAGAACGACGCCGACGAGGGTGCCTCCGGCTCGCCCAGGAGAGACGGCGATACGCCGGTCGTGGAGGCCCTTCGAGGTCGCATTCGCGAACTCGAGGCCGAGATGCGCGGTCAACCCTTCAAGTGTCTCATTTGCATGGTGAGTCAATTAGTTGATCTGCGGAATCGATCGCTTTCTGCGACGCGGAGCGAACGAAGCGGCAGGTTGCGTTTGTAATCGGTGAAAATGAGATAGGAAAACGCGAAGAGCAGCGGTGTCCTGCGCGAATTCTTACAAATAGATCGACGAGGAGTGCAAAAGTGAAATGCATTGGATAAGTGGAAATGCGTTCGATAAGTTCGAAGGGATTTTTGCAAAGAACTCGGGGTCACTACTTTTACAGTTGCACAGGAAAAGTGATTAGATTCAAGTAAATAATTACTCACTCCATAATACTCTTTAGCAAATTGTTATTTGGATGAAGTAAATATTACTTGAAAGTAGCATTTTTCTACATTCAAGTAATATTTATTCGATACAAGTAAAATTTCATTTAATCCAAATAAAAATTTATCATTTACTTGAATCTAGCGTTTTTTTGTTTTTTCTATGTGGGTATAGTTTTACTCAATAATCTATTGACCGATTTTTTTTTTGGTGACCCGGCATCGAAAAAGATTAAAAAATAAATTAAAATTATGCCTGACTATAAAAGAATCGGCTTTGAATTTTTTGTATATGCAAAATCGAGCGTTAGGGGCACGTTCGGCAGCAAAAAGGCTGCGGTATGTTTCTCTTCGATGTGCTCTGGAATGAGATGAAAATCGTCGGGATGATTTTCAACCCGTTTCGCCGCAGATTACATACATTTTCGCGCTTGCAAAACGGCTGGTAAAACAGTCGAATTAAAAAGCATTGCTTCGTTAGCTGAAATTTTATGGGATAATGCATTGTTTACGGCGAATGAGGCAAATTTTATAATACCCTGCGTAAAATAAATAAAACCCACGGTAATAATGAAAATTAGGTTTCGGAAGGACTCTGGAAAAACGCGTTTTATTGCCGGAGCGTGACCGAACTGGATCGATTAACTTTCGAACGCTAATGCGGCGCGTGTTCGTAATTGAGTCATCGTAATCAGATCATCGTTATAGTCTACTCGGCGGTTTCCAGGAAGCGGGGGGGGGGGGGGAAAAACNGTCCCGTGCATTATTACGTGCTTGTGACGTTACATTATATTATCTCTTCGCGCTTTATCCGAAAAAAATATCACAAAAAACTACGAACGCGATCTCGCGCGCGCGTTCACATTCACGGCTCGTAAATAATCGTAACGGGATGTAAAACTCGACTCGCGTAAAATTCGACCGCGTTTCTCGTGTCGGTCGCGCGCGACAGTCTGAAATATTTAGATCGCCGAATAAATGATCGTCGTTATAACGCCGGTATTTTCGAAGTAACGAAGTAGGGAAGGTGCATTTCGCGCCCTCTCTCTCTCGTGATAACCACCGGCCAACGTTTCCATCGTTCAGCGCGATATCGTACCTGTCCGACTTTATACACTTCATTATAAGGCGGACTCATGTTCTCGCGGATCTCGCGCTCGCGATCTCGCGAAATAACTCGCCACTCGCGAGATAAAACCATCTCCGTCGCTGCATTCCCTCCCGTTCGACCGCGAAGTGCGGCAGTAAAACGCTTCGGGTGTATCGAATTGCCGCCATTATCGGTCGAGATAAACGTGGCGGACGTGTTCGCGAATCCTGGCAGGAATGCCGCTGACGTAACGGCCGCGAATAATAACATTAATTCATCTTGCGAAACCTCCTCGACGGCCTCAAACGTGTCGATCTGACTGCCGATTGCGAAATCGTCGAGTCGAACGCAATTCACACGGGGAAAACAAATTTTGCTAGAACGGCAAATATTTCGACAATATCTTTGAAAATTCGCTCTTGTCCTTTTCTGGAATATTTTAAAACATTGAGGAGCATTCGAAAGAGATGTACAGAAAGAGTAGAGACGACGCTCCCTCGAACGCCGCCGTCGTTGAGATTACAAGGAAAAATTACAAGAAAATTCGTTTGACGAATTTTGAAAACAGTGCAATTTCGAAGCCTTCCGCGTACTGACGATTCGACGAGAGATACAGACGGATAATAACAATGTTTCGAACCTTCTTTTTCGAGTTGGACGCTGAGGTTTATATTGACATCTACCCAGTTGCTTTGTTCGCTGGTGTTATCGACCACCGCACTTGTTGCGTCTTTGTTGCCCGCGAGAATCGAAACTTCCATGTTTCAACCGATTCCGTGAATTTTGTCCGATATCGGAAGAGGTGCGCGATCGAACATACACATCGACTGTTTCACCGAAGGCGCGGCTTCTCCTTTCCAGGAACAGTACAAGAAGCCAGTCACTTCGGTCTGCTGCTGGCATGTACACTGCGAACAATGCTGGTTGCACACTCTGGTGAGTACATCTGTTCGTTTTCCACTTTGTAATCGTAGTAACTGCACTCGAGCAATTGAACATTTCAAACTCTCGCAAGTAGAAATCTAATTTCAATATTGAACGCAGCACTACGCAGGAGGAAAACAAGCACGGAGAAAATTAATTTTGCTGTTGTTTGCGAAACCACCATTGCTACTGCATATCCGTTGCGACGGCGATGAAATTTAATCGGCGTAACCGAATTAATGAATTATTTCGTAAGAGGAGGAACGTTAGAGCAGAAACAGTTTTGTTGCCAGGACTACGTTTCGAAATTTTCCTCGGTGACTGTTGCAAAACTTTACAAGCATTTTCGACTGGCCCCCTCTTCGGATGATGGACCAATCGGAAACGCTTCTAGAACAGCCGCCGAGAAAAATTTGCGACAACGAAAACATTTTAGAATAAGGCTCGGAGTAAGAAGTATTCTGTTGAATGAATAATTTGTCCTTGGCACACGTTAATTCGCCATTAGAACAAAATAGTATTTTCCTACATTTACTAATTTGTTATAAATTTGCTAATTTCAAGCAAAACAACATATAGATTAAGCGGAAATAATCCAGCGAATGGCAATTGGTACTCTTAACAAAGTTGTCTTCCTCCACAACAGCAACTGATTGATTTCGCATAGACTTGGCTGTGCCAGCAAATTATTTTTCTCCGTGAGTCAGACAGTCTTATTCGTGCGCGGAAACGTTGATATTTCAGATGGTCATAATTGAAAATTCAAATTCGGAGTCTGACTTTCTAATACACGGCGAAAACATTTTGCTAGAACAAACAAATTGTTAATATAGTGACGGCAAAAAGATTTGTTGCACGGGAAAAATAATATTATCGTAACAAAATGTTGCGACAGCAATCAAATTTAATTAGCATAACCAAGTTATTTTGTTGCTCATATATCCAGCAAATAGCAATGAATACTTTTAACAAATCTTTACACTGTCCGAACAAGTTTCTTTTCTTGCCACTATATTAACAAACAATTGATCGTTCTGGCAAAATTTATTTTCTACGTGTGGCTTCGTTAATTTGATCGTTGATTATCGCGAATTCGTCATAAATTGAGTTAAGTCTACGTATCGATACACCGAAGTCACCCCGTTCACCCGAAATCAACCCCCGATTCCTCGCTATTTTCTCGATTGTCGTCCCGCATCCAGTCTGGGCGTCAGACGACGTCTCCGGCCGCAAAAGCTGTCAAGAAACGACGTTTCTTGTCGGTGTTGCAGGGTGCGAAGAAGCTCTGTCCGCAATGCAACATGATAACGTCACCGTCCGATCTGCGACGCATCTACATGTGAGTCGACTCGACGGCCCGCCGCGATAACTCCGCGGCCGAGAGTCGAGGGATGATCAGCCGTGGCAACGAGCGATCGTCAACGAGCGACCCCCTCATCGCAACCGCCCAACCGCCCCCCGCAGCCCTCCCGCGGTCGCCCGTGTAAATACTTGTATATTTCTCGGCGTTTACGTAAATTAACTCCCTAGAATTAACGTGTACGTTTATGCATCTTAGAGTTAGTAAATTAACTTCCTTAGTCTACACACACACATACACACACACATACATACATAAAGATCGCCCACCTAAGCGTCGCCCTCCCCAGGATCACCTCGTCGCCAATTTTGCACGTCGACGACGATCATATCCGTCGTATTTAATCCGCGTTACCAATCGTCCCCTCTCTGGAAACTGCTGCGCGGAGCTCCCCTTGTTTCCACACGTACGTATTGTCGGAGCCGTGACTATACAAGTAAAGAAATTTCCTCAATCTATTCCTACAGTTTTGCTTTTCTTACGTACGTATTTTTTTTTTTTTTACGTATCGCAATCGCGATTATTAAATCGCTTTCTCGCGCGCGATTCCAACGGCTTACTCGAAAGGACGGTGAGTTTCGTTGGCTTTGCCGTGTTGTCCCTACTTTGCTACTCGGTAAGTTGCATGTTCGACGATAAATTGTTAGATGACGAATTCGTCTCTCTCTCTCTCTCTCTCTGTGCCTTAACGATATTTTCGCGACGACAGTTCCCGCGACCGGTCTTGCGATTGCGGATACACCTGAATTGTTTGTGAAAGCATACCTGGAGCCATCGGCCAATCGTTATACGTTGTACTATAAACTTCGCATGTACGTCTACATAATGTGTGTTCACTGTCACGACACTTGAGTACTTAATGAGGTCGATCGCTTGTCAAAGACGTGTCAATGCTGCGAAACGTTAGGCGGTTTCGATCTCCCACTCGACGAAAATCGTCGTCGTCGTCGTTGTCGATCACATCGCCGTACGCTCTCCTGCGATATTCTCGTTTCACAGGCGGGATTACAGAATCTTAAGGTTACGCGAAAGGACGACGCGAGTAGAGAAAGCCGATCGCGCTCGATCGTGGCTTCTTGTTTTACGTCTCGAATAATTTATCGTCGCGCGCGCTTTCACGACATCGCGTGACGAACTTTTTCCCCTCCGTCGGATCCTCCGTTGCGTTCCTCAACGATCGGCTTTCGGCGCATCGGCCGGTATAATTACCGAGGAAACTTTTAGATCATCGGCAAAATCAGTCTCTCTCTCGCGATGCACTCCTGCGAGCTACTGTAAATACACTAAACGGATCAAGAAGAGAAGTAAGTTCCCCGATCGCTGTTCTGTAATCGAAATAAAAAAAAACGATCATGGAATGTACAACTGTGCTGCTGGTGTCGTCTCCAATTATTTTCTCCCCGGACACAGACAACGGTATATCCAGATATTTCAGACCGGATGCGGAGAAGAAACTCGACAGGTACGTGCGAGAATATCTTAATATATACGTAGCTTCTGGATTGCCGTTCGGTCGAACAGCTTGAATAGTTTAGCATCCTCTAACTCGGCTACAAGAAGAGCTGTCGAAAGACAATCACCGAAATATCGCGAAGGCACACACTTCTTCCCAGCCTGAGATTGAAACAAGCGCACATAACATATGAAATATTCTCGGATTATTCCCGTGTTTCTTTACCTTTTCATTTACACCGGTATTCTCGGAGGTGACGTGAATACCTCAAGACGGTTGAATGGGAGATTTTAGGTGTACCGTTGAGAGTGGATTATGTAAAATTGCCGACACGAATAAATCGTTGAGAATCTCGTGTCTAGGGGGATGCTTCTTTATTCGGCGAACGTGGGGTGGAAAGGGCGGCTTCGGGATCCGGTGGCATCGATTTGAAAACGCACGTGTTTCAAACGGACAAACGTGCCTTTCGAGGCCGCGACGAATCGGGGAAACGGACACGGTCAGGACGCGAGAAATACTCCGCGCGATGAGCGAGCCGGGCGGAGGAACTCGAAAAAAATACACCGTGGTGCGGACGTCCAATGTTTAATTTCCTTATCTCCGTGCCGCCGCTGCGAAGAAGCCTCTGATTAAAGCTCCGGGGACGAGGAAAGGTCACGGCGCAGAAGAGAGAGAGAGCCGAGAAGGGTCAGCGCGAAGGTGGTGGCAGCGTCGCGCGCGGAAAAAGGGTCAGGCAAAATGGCGCGAGCTCCGGCGGGCAGAGGCGGCGGAAGCGGAGGTGGCAGCGAAGACGGAAGTGGAGGCGGCGGCGAAAGTGGCGGCGAAGGTGGAGCTCTCCTCGACGTGGCTCGGCGCTCCGCAGCCGCGAACGTATGGATCCGCACGAGGGTGGGAAAGAGTGTGCGAGAAAGGGCGCGGGCGGGATGCACTTGGGGGGTTAAAGAGCGAGACCGGATCGCCCCCTCCCTCTCTCTCTCTCTCCCCGGCAAGATGGTAGCGCGCAGTTTGCCGACGCGACCGCCCCAACGCCGAAAAGCAGCGGCAAGGAGTTCTGTATGGAGTCCGCTCGCTCACTTCGAACTCGCGGCGCGTTGAATAAATGACGTAATCGGGAAGGAGGGGGGAAGCGTGTTCGTAAAGCGGACTTCAGCGGACTCTTGACTTCGGGAACCGATGGCCATGGAATAACGGGGAGACGCTCGGCCTCCTCGTTCCAGGTTGGGGTAGCGAAGGCAATTTCGGTTGATCCGCTCGCGGGGCCGCGCTGAAAAGGTAAGTGCGAAGGTAAAGGGGTGAAGGTACGTGGGAGAGTTGCTTCCAGGTAGCTTCGTACTGCGAGGACTGGGCGAGCAGTCGATATCCAGTGGGACTCGCGCGTACTGCTCGCTCGAAGCGGCGCTCTCGCTCGCTGCGGCTGTTAAACGTCTCCGCCCGGCGCGCGCGATATACGGCCGTTTGGCGAGCGGACCACGCGCGAACATTCTTTACGGCGCCGTTCGTTGCACGCTGATAATCCCCGTTGGGGATTTATCGGCGTTCTAATCGGCGCAACGTGCCCTGGTCTCTCTCCGATTCCCGCCCCGATTGCCTCTGTCTTGACGTCAGTCTCATTCCCTCCAGCATGCTTTGATTGGCCGTCGACTCGTTGGCGGTGGTTCAGCCGGTATCCTGTTTAAGCAAATGTCCCCGGTCTTTAGGTATTGGTGAGCGCTTTCCAAAGGAGGTGGACTGCGAAATGCCCTCCGGGCGGATTCACTGTCATCATCGATAAGAGACAGTCGATGAAGGAAACCATCGGGGCCGCTCCCGGAGTTGGGTGACAGTGGGGGTGGAAAAAGGAGAAACGAAGAGAGAAGGAGAGGAGGAGAGGGAGAGAGGGAGAGAGAGAGAGGCAGGGCGGAAAAGGTCCGGGAAACCCGGCTGGACGACAGACCTCCCGCGAAAGGTGGGCGCGTAGGTGGAGGCGATGAAAGCTCCGCCTCTCCATCGTGTGCTTTCCATTTCGTGTTTTCCACCGGGCGACGCATTTTCCTACTTACGAGTTCACGCAAACGAGCAGCTCGCCAGCTCGTTTCCCCGCAGTCAATCCCGCGGAACGCCGCGAAAGACGTCTCCCACTTTTACCCCCTTCCTGCTCGCGCGAGCTCTCCCTCCCCCCTTCTGAGTCATTGAACTCTATTCCCGCAGGCAGCTGCATAGAAATGGGAAACGCTCGTCGGCGTGTCCGACTGTCAACGATACCTCGCAGCGAACGCGGGAGGACAATGTCGTTAAAGTTACGGACCGATGGGACATGCGGGGATCATCGTGAGCGAAATTGGAGCGGATGGGAAAGCGGGGGTCTACGATCGATACGCGATTGAAGGGAATTGATCTAGACGCGTGGATACAACGATCTCGTTCAGAGCAGCGATCGATGATCGTATCAGAGTCGAATGCTCCAAGTGAGCCGTACAATTTGGGTAAAATGGGATTTTCTCAACCGGAAGGCACACACGTGCGTTATGCGACCTCATAGAAGTATCGTAACATAAATACAGATTCCGAATCAGATCACTTTCGAGCGAGCGAAATTTGACGGATCCACCGTATCGTGTGACAAAGGTCGCATGTTGCGTCCTCCCGATAATTCAGATCGGACAACACGCGATAGAACGCAATTTACCAGCAGACACGTTACAGGCTTTGAACTAATTTTTTTTTTTTCCTACGCGACATCAATGACATCGTTACATAACTGCGATACTTCGCAGCGCTTGACGGATCCCGTCGGTAAGGATACCGGGCCGTTCTTGATCCCAGGTAAACGAGATCGCATTCGTCCGCCGAGCTCTCGGACGCGCCGGCAACGTGAGCAACGCGCCCAGGTGTCTCGCGATCCGGCACGACAAAGGCGAGAGCACCCCAACCCACGCAGGCAACCCACACGTGACAGGCGCTCGCGAGCGTCTGGCTCAATCCGCGACGTCGTCGATCCCGAAGAGGCGTCCCGGTACCGCGGAAGGGCGTGTTTCTCGCTCGACGGGCTACGAGGACTCGGGAAGGGATGACGACGCGCTTTCAACACACGGCGCAAGTCGGCCGCCCGTTTCCCGACGCCTGCGGACTCGAACAGGTCGCGCGGCTTGCGCCGCACGTTCCCGCCTACCATTTTGTCGAAGAGGGGACAGACCGCGTCTGAAAGGTCCTTCATCCTCCGCCGCTCAGACCCCTCGTCCTGCGGCACCTTCGCGGGCGTCGCCGCCAAGAGATGGAAGAGAGAGAGAGAGAGAGAGAGAGCGCCCAGGTGCGCATTCCTCGCGGTGTCTTCACGTCGTTCCTTTCCGCGTCGTTCAGCGTTCCCCCTCCAATCTCTCTCCCTCTCTCTCTCTCTCTCTCTCTCTTTTCTTTCTCTCTCCCATTCGTATTCCTGTCTTTTTTCCCTTTTTCCTGTCTTGTCGCTCTTGCTATCTCTGTCTATGAATTTCTCTCCCGAGAGACAGAAAGAGAGAGAAAGAGAGAGAGCTCGCATGCACGTGCATGGACTGAGAACGGGCATGGTGCAGTCGACCGAATATTTCCGCGCACAGATCACGGTGATTTACACGGGTCAAATTCGATTTCCGCTCGCGTGAGGTAATTGCAGGTGATAATAAGAGCGCGGCGGACAGCTAGGAGGTAGTCACTCGGATGCAGCTTTGGATCCAATCGGTGTGGTTCACCGGGAAGTTGAGCATCAAGAGTTCGCTCGTGGACCGCGACACATGAAGCTTCTATTCCTTTTAGTTCCTGATAGATGATTTCTTTACTCTTGCACGAAGGACGATGGTTCTTTTCGTACACGGAAGAAAAAGTTTGGTTACATCAGTCAGAAAGGGGGAACAACCAGATGCATTTTGCTTGAAGAAGACGGGATTTCTGGCTGTAAGAATCATATTTGGGTCACAAGAGCCAGAAATTCTGTTTCCTTCAACCAGAACGCTGTTTCCATTCTGGCGAACAGATTTTTTGCTCCGTGTACGTTTATTAAACTTTACTATGATTGTTAGGAGAATTTAATAATAAAATCTGGAAACTCTGATAAGGAGTCGTAATCCTACGTTTGGATGACAGGATCGATTACATTTTATTCTTCTTCTCTCTTTCATTTTCAGTTTAATTGATTACTTTTACCTATTCGAGCTGACTTCTCGAAGGTAATCTGTATATAGCGTGGACTTATTTATATAAAAGCACGTTTAAAACGTTTTCCGACGTCGTCTGACGTCCGGCTGTGCAAATAGTTTTCCTCGAAGAAATTGCGACTCCCTTGAGAACTCTTGCATCACCGTTATTAATTACGCCGACGGTTTAATCAATAAACTTGACAACTATACCGATTGCATTTTCCAACTTCTCCAAAGGTAATTACACGTATTTCCGCGGAATATCCGTGTATATATTCCGCGTTTCGCGGTTAGAAGAACGTTCTCCCGTAACACTTCCGTTTCCGTCCAAGTGACTCGGTAACGATTTGTACAACTCAACGCGACGTTTTTACCTCGAAGCGAAGCGATTACACGGTCTGCCGTCATTTCCTCGCCGCGATCAATTGCCTTAAAAGTGGCGGCGGGCAATCGTCACATTTACATCGAGGCTCGGGGCAGGCCTTATATCGATGTTACACATCGAGGAGGTAAGGCCGAGCCGAGTTCTCCATTTACGAGAAGGGATATGCGCAATTACTTACCGATAGAGATATCGCAGAAGTGAGTTCACGCTGACGGATTAATTAATGCTATTGTAAATGCGGCGTGCAGCTGTAGCGTTATTCATGGTCTACAGGTGCGATACAGGCGATGACGACGACAGAGTTAGCCACGGTGCACTTCCTGTTGTATGCAAATGCGTCCGGCGGGAGCCCAAGCGGGTGCCGTCGAGACATTAATTCGCG